TTCTTCTTCTTCTTCTTTTTCTTCGTCTTCCTCTTCTTCTTCGTCTTCCTCTTCTTCTTCGTCTCCGCTTCCTCTGCTTCTGGTGCAGCATAAACTCAGTGGAGGTGTCAAAGAGAAATGTAGAGATATCGGTCGCTAAATACGTGTAAGTAGAGTGTGGTATGTACAGCAGTCCACAATCGTCTTCTCCTCCTTTTTCATCTTCTTCTGCTTCCTCTTCTTCTTCTTCGTCTTCTCGTTTTCTGCTTCCTCTGCTGCGCCAGCAGCGGGGGTGTTAAAGAGATTTTTGTCTCTTAATACGTGTAGGCAGAGTGTTGCACGTAAAGCGGTCCACAGTCTTCTTCTCCTCCTTCTTCATCGTCTTCTGCCTCCTCTTCTTCTTCTCTTGCTCTTTGCAAAGCGCATCAGTGCTGCTTATAACTGCAGCAATGTATGTATTTGCGCCCTTGAGCACGTATAATAGAAGCGCCTCGTGTTCTTCTTCGACATCTTCTTCTTTCTCTTCTTCTTCTTCTTCTTCTTCTTCTTCTTCTTCTGCTTTTTCTTCGTCTTCTTCTGCGTAGTAAAACGTGCACGAAGCTTTATAGGGATCTACGTAGATATACCTGTTTCCCCCTATGGGAAAGAATATGGAAGAGTTCTCTTTGCAGCTTCGTACGTACGAGTGATATAAATGCTTGTGTCTACGTGCAGGGGCAGAAATACTGGTGATTTGATTCTGCAGGGTACGTATACATATATATCTATATATCTGTATATATATGTGTATATCTCGTAGCGTATATATATATATATGTTTATATATGTGTAGATGCATACGGAACCGCATATATATATATATGTACATTTGCGTATATATGATAGATAGATACGGAAGAAGAAGGCATACATGTGCGCGTGTTTTCGCCTTGGGTGAGGTACTGGAGGGTTCTGTGTCCAGGTATATATACACGAAAGTCACCCATATGTACATTTCTCCTCACGTGGGCAGGAACACTGAAGCGCCACATATGCGATATCTATATATGTGTATATATGTAGCGTTTTCCCATATGGGCGGAAGTATTGAAGAGCTTTCCGTGCAGGTATATATATGTATATATACATGTATATACATATCTATGTGTATATATGGAAGTCATGTTCATGTACGTTTCTATTATGCGGCAGAGTATAGAGAGCATCTTCTCTCGCGGCTTCTGTGATCGACCAGCATAATGTTTCCGCGAAGCATGTAAATGTACTTGCTTTTTCACTTTTACATGTATCTTGAGGTTCCTGCAAGTCCATATGTAGGAGACTCATATATATTTCATATATATACATATATATATATATATAAGTATACGCGACCTCAATCATGGGAAGATACATTGGAGAATCGTGTCGGCAGGTGGGCATATAGGAAGGTCATACGTATGCGCGTCTCCTCACGTGTGGGCAGCATTTTAAAAGAGGCTTGTGTGCCGGTATATTCACGATAATTATATATATATGTATGTATATACGTGTCTTCCAGCCGGACAACATTACTGAAAACTTTTGTTTGCAGGTTTGTACGTCTCATATATATATATATATATATATATATATATTGCGTAGACGTGTACGCACGTCTCTTCTCAGATGCACCGGAGTCTACAGGGCACCTCGTTTCCTTCTTTGGCACAGCGCGCAGCCCTACGGAAGTGCGAGTATATGTGCGAGAGCCAGATGTACCTCCCTTCTCAGATATATCTGAAGCGCTCAATTTCTTCTTCTACGTAACGCGTGCATGGAGATTCCAGGAAAGGCTTAGATGTGTATATATATATATATATATGTATATGTGCATATGTATATATTCCTTGATAATATTACAAGTATGTACGAGAGTCATATACATATGTACTTCCGTAGTCATATGGAGGAACATATTTGACGCACCTCGTTTTCTCCCCTTGCGCGACATCTCCGCGAAATACTGCGTGACGCCGGCTTTAAACATAACGCGGCAAAGTCCTATAATAGTGCAGGTTTATATACAAGGTATGACAGGTATATAATGTGCGGATATATATGTATATATATATATACATATATATATATATATATATATATATATATATATATACGCGTATATAGTTCTATATATGTTTAGAGTTATATATATATATATATGCATAGTACGCTTCTTTCCACATGACTGGATTATTTCAAGCGCCTCCGTTTCATCGTCTTTGCCTAGTAGCGTCTGCATGAGGTTTCGGGAAAGTACAGGTATATGCCTGACGCCTGCCGGGAGTTTCACAACGTTGGAAGTTTTGTCTATACAACGTATCATATATACATATATATATATATATATATATATATATGTGTATGTACATGTATATGTACATATGTATATACCTGGTACGTTCCTCGCTTCTTCGTTCGCGGGGGGACGCCTGCGTAATGTTTTAGAAAGGGCCAGGTTTTATACACAGTATAATTTGTATGTGTATATACATGTGTGGACAGCTAGTCCGTCCTGTCACACGTGGGCTAAGGTAATAAAAGCGGCCCCGTTTCTTCTTCTTTTTCTTCTTCTTTTCCTTCTTCTTCTTCCTCTTCTACGTCTTCTTCTGCCTCCTCTTCTCTTTCTTCTTCTTCTTCTCCTTCTCCTGTGTAATAACGCGTGCACGGAATTCTATGAGAGTGCCTATAGAACAACCGGCACCAGCACTATACACATACATATATGTATATATGTGCATCTGCATATATATATATATATATAAATATATATGTACATATATATATATATATGTATAGAGTGAGAGAGAGAGAGAGAAACAGAAGGACACAAGAATAAGGTTTGGTCCAAATGAAGCAGCAGCAGGAAGGAAAGGGTCTGCTGCAAGGCAGCCACGGAGAGCAGGGACCGCAGCGGCAACAGCCGCAGCAGCAGCAACAGCAGAAATCACGAATGCAGCACAATGAGTCAATTTCGTCCTCTCAGCTTCCCGCGCCTCTGCCAGAGCCCCGTCGGCTGCCGCAAACACGTGACCGTCAGCATAACTGCTTGGGGATGGAAGGAGCAGAAAAAAAAGATAAAGAAGAAGAGGAAGAGAGAAGCAGACCAGCGACAATGCCGCATGTGTAGAACATTCGAAGCGAGAAGCAGAGACCATGCCGGATGTGTAGAACATTCGTCTTGTGAGCGGTACGACGATGCTGTTGCGGGGTCCACCTCGTCGGAGAACCCCCCAAGAAGTACTGGCAGTGCTACGATACAACCACCGCAGTACGTTTCCTCGTATTATCAGCCAGGCCGCTACATATCTTCTCCTCCTGTTGCTGCTTGTGTTTCTCCTGAATCAGATAGTAGACAGCAGTGGTCTCCTCCTTCTTTAGGCATGACGCAGTCAGCGCCGGCCTTATGTTCTCTTGCTGTGCTGCTAGTCCTGTGACGTCTGACGGAGGAGGGGCATCAGCAACTGCTGCTGCTGCTGTCGCCACCGCCACGTCACCGAGAGAAGGAGGAGGAGCAGCGGTATGCCTTTCTCCGTCCTTCTGCTTTGATGCGATCCAAGAGCAGCAGCAGCAGCTGCTGCTGCAGGAACACCACACGCTCTATCAGCAGCACCCACGCGTCTTATATGCACGCAGCGGAGATATTGCTCCTCAGGAACATACGTGGAAATGTAGGCGCAGTTTCAGTAGCGGCAGTGTCCGCTGTCGTGCTGCTATGGCAGCTGCAGCAGCAAACTCGGGCGCAGTACTCACCCGCTGCACCTCTTCACTCGCACTCGCACTCAGACAAACTCACCAGCAGCTGCAGCGGCAACAACAGCGGCAACAGCCGCAGCAGCAGCAGCAACACCAACACCAGCAGCAACACCAACACCAGCAGCAACACCAACAACAGCTGCAGCTGCAGCAGCACCAAGAGGTGCTGCACGGCCGTTTTGATGGTGGTGCTGCTGCTGCTCCAGCGCACGTTCCCTTATCTGCTTATGGCAATATCGGGTACATGGGTGCAGAAGCGCCAACAGGTATTAGAGCGGATGCTGCGCCTCACGAAGATGCAGGGGCTGCGCGTTATGAAAGACCAGTTGCTGCCGCTACTGCTGCTGCTGCTGTTGTTGCTGCTGCCTTAGAAAGAGGAGGAGGAGAAAGGGAGACAAGTGAAGTTACAACAGAAGGAAAAGGCTTAGCACAGAGACGTACTAGCACTGAAGGAGAAGCAGCACCTGCAGCTGCTGAAGCAGTCGCTCACACCGGCAAAGCACATAATCAAGCTGGTAGAATTGCTGTGCAGCAGCAAATGTTGGAGGAGACACAAACCTATCGAGAGTCAGCAGCAGGGTCCCCACCAACTTCTGCTGCTGCTGCTGCTGAGAAGCGAGATGCACCTGCAGCAGTCGCATCTTCGCACATTACTCCTTCTCCTCTCCCTGCTGCTGCAGCTGCTACTGGTGTTAGCGCCTCTATAGAGAAACCCACGGCGCGTGGAGCAGGCGGCAGCAGGCCAGCAGCAGCAGAGACGCAAGCATATACAGAGAAAGGAAGTGGCTTACAGTCTGCAGGAAATGAAGGAAATGATGAATGGCAAAGATATTGTACCAGTCCACTCTCTGCTGCTGGTCAGCTCCTTCCGCGTCGTCCCCTTGCTGCAGCAGGTGTTCAGGCAGCCAGGAAGGAAGAGGAAGAGGCAGCACCAGCGGCAGCAGACATGTCAGCAGGTGACTCTCTTGGAGTTCTTGCCTCTCCGACTGCTGCTCTTAAGAAGTGGCAAACTGCACCAGCTGCGGGGCCTGCACGAGGTGCAGCTGCAACAACTGCAGCTCCTTTAGCTGCTGCTGCTGCTGCTGCTGCAGCACCGCATGATGCAGCTGCAGCACCTGATGGTGTAGCTGCAGCATCTGGAGCTGCCGCTTGCGCTGCCGCTTTTGCTGCTGAAGCGCTGATGACGTCGTGTGCTGCCATGGCGGCTGCTGCTGCTGCTTCTGCTGCAGCACAGATGCCTATAGCAGAGGAAGCAGCAGTAATTCAGACTAAGCCGCACATATTGATTATTATCACTGGAGGCACCATATGTATGGATTATGGAGGAGAACTCTCATCTTTGAGGCCTCAGAGACTGGCGCAGCGGCTGCAGCAACTACCAGAACTACGTGATTCCTCTCTTCCTAACTTTGATGTTCTCGAGTGGGAAACACTTGTCGACAGCAGCGACATATCTGTGGCTCACTGGCAACGCCTCGCTACTCAAATACAGCAGTTCTACGATCCATATGATGGGTAAGTACTCTGATATTCGAGTAAAGTAAGCATACTTGGGGTGGTAGATGTATTCCTGTGGGAAACTCTTGTCGACGGCAGCGACATATCTGTGGCGCACTGGCAGCGCCTCGCTACTCAAAGACAGCAGTTCTACGACTCATATGATGGGTAAGTACTTAGACACTCGAGTAAACTGAGCATAGTTGATGTGATAGTACTCTAATATTCGCGTAAAATAGGCGTACATGATGTGGCAGATGTTTCTGCGTGGGCAACTCTTTTAGACAGCAGCGACATGTCTGTGGCGCACTGGCAGCGGCTGCTACTCAGGTACAGCAGATTTACGACCCATACGATGGGCAAGTACTTTGGTGGATTTGGGTCTAATGAACATACTTGATGTGGTAGATGTTCTCGAGGGGGAAGCACCAGTCGACAGCAGCGGTATATCTGTGTTTCCCTGGCAGCGCCTTGCTACTCAGATACAGCACTTTTACGATCCATACGATGGGTAAGTACTTTGATGTTCGAGTAGAATGAGTCTACTTGATGTGGTAGATCTCCTCCAGGGGCAGACACTAGTCGACAGCAGCGATATATCTGTGCCGCACTGGCAGCGGCTCGCTACTCGGAATCAGCAGTTCTACGATCCATATGATGGGTAAGCACTTCGGTATTCCAGCAATATGTACATCCTTGATCTGGTGGTAGTGGAAAGGCTGGTAATCCCTAGAAGCACACCGCACGCGCTGACACTGGAGATACTCTTTCTTTATATATATATATATATATATACGTGTATCTCCATATATATATATATATATATATATATATATGCGTATATATAGATGCGTATACTTACGTATATATGTATATATATATATAGGTATAGCTATAGAAACATACATGTGTGTATATACGGTGTGCTTCTGAAATGAGCACACGGGTTTTCTAGCATTGACAAGGTTCGGACGCTTTAGGAAGCACAACCCATGCAGTGACACTGCTTCTACCATCTCTCTCTCTGTCTCTCTCTTCTGTCTCTCTCTGCGTATATATATATATATATATATATATACATACGTATATAATTTTATATGGTTGTATTCACCTATGCTTATACATACGTGTAAATACACATATGTGCAAATATATATATATATATATGTATATATATATATGTACGTATATACGTACAAGTTGAGGCGGATGGATCGGTTATTGTGACTTACAGTTGTGCCTATGGAGATCACCTACTCAGCTGCACGTGTTGCTGTAGTAGGCCAGTGTGCTGCAACTGCGGGGGTAGACAAGGTTTGCTGCTACTACTGCTCCAGCAATATGCGAGCCGCAGTGCCGCTGTTGATGCGGAAGAAGTGGAGCTGCGCTGCTGCTGCCGCTGTTGCTGCTGCCGCTGTTGCTGCTGCTGCGGCAGGCTGTTCTTGCGGCAGGCTGTTCCTGCAGTTCTTGAACAACCACGCATTTACGGAGGTCTGCCACCGCTGCTGCAGCGACGAAACGGTTGCATTTGTACTTCTGGGGGGAAGAAAATTGATTTCTTGTAGATGCGGGCAGAAGAACACCCAGCCACATCGCTCCTCACCACGTATGTCCTCACAGGAGGGACCATTTCATGCATATCGTTCAATACATCCACGTGAATGCAGAATGGGTATGCATATATATATATATATATGTATATACTGTACGCTTGGCATAAGCGGGCAGCGGCGTAGACAGCCACCACTCTCCTCACTACAGATGTCTCCCCGGAGGAGCCAGCGCACGTATATTCGTGTATATTCCTTAGTGAATGTAGCACGCATATATATATATGCTTGGCACATGCGGGCAGCGAGGGTAGACAGCCACTTTTGTCCTCACTGCGCATGTCTTCCCAGAAGAAACCAGTGGCTCAATATGCCTCTACATGCCCTCGTGAACAAAGCTTATATATGTATGTATATATATATATATATCTGTGTACGTCTACTGTGTAGGCTCGGCGTATGCGGGCAGCGGGCTACGCGTTGTCACCTCATTACAGGGAGGGGTAGAGAGCAGATTCACCGAGCCTGATGGTGTTGCTTGTGCCACAAAAACACAAACACAAGAGAGTAAAGCTGCTGCTACTGCGACCCGAGCAGCAGCAAATCTACAACTGCTACTCTTCTAAAGTATATGTCTGTATTCTCGTTAGTCGTGAAAGTTCATGCCCGCCTGCTGCTGAAGCACTAATGCCTGCCAGCTGTACACGTACAAGAGCTACGGCGAGTCCGGTAGACCTCCCGTCCCTTTTGCTGGTGCCGCTGCCTGTCGCTGGTGCTGCCTCTGCTCGCGCTGCTGCTGCTACTGCTGCCGCTGCTGCTGCTACGGCTGCCACTGCTGGTGCTGTTGCCGTCGCTGGTACTGCTGCCGCTCCTGCTGCTGTCCTGGCTGCTGCTGCTGCCGTTGGAGCCGACTTCCTCGCTCTTCATGCTTTTCTGGCTGCCGCCCCTGCTGATGCTGGTGGTGTTGCTACTGCTTCGTCTGTGGCTCAGATTCGTCATTTTGCATGGAACGGATACGTTGGCGTACACCGCCTCCGCGCTGTCGTTTATGCTGGAGAATTTAGCGAAGCCCGTGGTTCTCACGGGCTCGATGCTTCCTATGCGTAAGTCTGTCGTGAATGTTAGCATCTGCTTCCCCAGCACTATATAACTCTTTCAGCTGTCTTTCGCCTATACGTAGGTCTGTCGTGAGTGTGAGGATCTGCTCACTCAGCACTCTATAAGTCTTTCAGCTGTCCTTCTCCTATGCGTAAGTCTGTCGTGAGCGTTAGTATCTGCTTACTCAGCACTATATAAGTTTTTCAGCTGTCTTTCACTGATGCGTAAGTCTGCCGTGAATGTCAGGATCTGCTTGCTTAGCACTATATTAGTCTTTCAGCTGTCTTTCGCTTATGCATAAGTCTGTCGTGACTGTTAATATCTGCTTACCCAGCATTAGATAGACTGTTCAGCTGTGTACACATGTCACGCAGGAACTACCAGGAGGATACACACCTACGTCCTGCAGACCCACATGCAAGTAAAGATGTAGACTTCCTCTCCCCCTTCACGTGGACCGGCCTTCTCCGCCGTTACTTCCATCTTCCAGAGATGTGTGCTGCTTCTGTAAATAGGCACAAGCTCTCTCTTTCTCCATGTCCACATGTATGCACGTATATACGTATACGAATACCTATGTGTAGAGGCGCAGTGATCTGCTTGCGTTGCCTACGTATCTGTTTCTTTTCCTGGGGCACATCGTTTATAAGGCTACCAGAGTCGTGGACGCCGGAGATACTCACATACCTCTAGGCCTAGTATTCCTGGCAGGCATGTGTGCATGCCGGAAGATATATGTGTTCCGCAGTTCTCTTCTGCTTCTACGCTTCGTCCGTTGTGTGTAAAGCTGTTGCTGCTGCATGTAGTATGTAGGCTGCTCATTCTTGTTTTGCTGTTGTCTGTGGTGCTGCTGCTGCTGTTTTGGTGCTGTTGCTGCTGTTTGTGGTGCTGGTGTCTGTGGTGCTGCTGCCGCTGTTCCGCGCCCTCCTACATTTCATATAGCAACAGATGCAATGCGAAATTCGGTAGCCAGCATGGTGATCGCTGGATGCTCGGAGCTGCGGGGGGTGGCAGTCGTGTTTGGTGCCCACGTAATGCGTGCAAAGTTGTTGCCGTTGCATCTAGTGTGTAGTTTGCTCATTCTTGTTTTGCTGCTGTTCGTCCTGCTGCTTCTGCCGTTGCGTGCCCTTCTACAGTTCATACAGCAACAGACGCAAAGCGAATTTAGTAGGTAGCATGTTGATCACTGGCTGCTCGGAGCTGCGGGAGGTGGCAGTCGTGTTTGGGGCCCACGTGATGCGTTCAAAGTTGTTGCTGTTACATGTAGTATTTAGGTTGCTCATTCTTGTTTTGCTGCTGTCTGTGGCGCTGTTGGTGCTGTTTGTGGTGCTGCTGCTGCTGCTGTTTCGTCCTCTCCTACAGTGCATATAGCAACAGATGCAAAGCGAAATTTGGTAGCCAGCATGTTGATCGCTGGCTGCTCGGAGCTGCGGGAGGTGGCAGTCGTGTTTGGTGCGCACGTGATGCGTGGCTGCAGAGTCACCAAGTTTGATTGTGCGGGTTTCGAAGCTTTTGCTTCTCCAAATTGTCCGTCTCTTGGGATGGTCGGCGTAGACGTCATCATAAACGAAGAAGCTCTGCTGTTGCGTCAGGCTGCCTCTGCGTCTGCTGCAGCTCTTGCTGCTGCTGCAGGACCTGCCGCCTTTCGTCGGGGGCTGCCGGCAGCTGCTGCGCACGCGTCTTCTTCGTCTCCTTTTCCTCCCTCTGCGTTGTCTGCTTCCGGTACTCGCAGCGGGGGAGAGAACGTTAATGAGGAAAAACAGGGAGGTCCAGATTACGCGCATGCTGCTGCTGCAGGCGGCTATGCCGCTCCTCCTGGGGGTGGAGAAGGAGCAAGAGATGGAGGTCTTAGGGTGTTCTCCAGCATGGCTGAAAACATCGTTGCCTTGCCGCTGACGCCGTTTCTTCCAATGAGAATTCTGCAGTTGCTCTTGTCGGGGGAAGCATGTGCGAAGAAGACGCGGCTGTTGCACGAGACACGAGCAGCAGCCGGCGAGCACCAGAAGCTGCAGCAACGAGGAGGAGAAGCATTAGAAAAGAGAGAAGCAGCAGACGCAGCAGGAAGCGAGAGGGAAGACGGCGGAGAGCCAGGGGTATGCAAGACGAAGATAAAGGGAGAAGCAGGCGAAGAAGGGGGACATCGGTCGCCTCTTAGTGTAGTACTACTTCTGTACGGCTCTGGGACTGCTCCGGGAAACCCAGAGCTGCTCAGTACTATTCAGAGAGGCATAGAGAGAGGCGTCAACATTGTTATCCTTTCACAGTGCAGGCGCGGCTGTGCGAATCTTCTTGCGTATGAAAATGGAGTGAGGCTCCACAACTTAGGCGTCATCAGTGGAAAGGACTCAACTCTCGAAGCCTGCGTTGCCAAACTGTCCTATCTAACTGGTAAGCGGGATACAGACAAACGTTTGTGTGTGTGTATTACACGCATCTGTGTGGAAATCTCCAAGGTCCGCATATATCTGTAACTGCATATATAGGTTGCATATATAGGTATGTATGTATGTATGTATATATATATATATATATATACATATTTACATAAGTATACATATGTGCATATATACGTAATTGTATATGTAGGTATATATATATATATATATATATATATTCACAGATATATATGTATATATATACATATATATATTCATCCGCAGGTGTTCATGGGTTGTTCCGTTTCTTATGTCATTGAATAAGAACGTCTATACATACATTAGTATGTGCAGGACTCGTGCTAACGTGGGTGTCTGTGAATGTGTCGCTAATTTTGTTAGTACGTGGGGTATGCGCATATACGTAAGCATGGATAGCCATACAAATACATGTGTATAGGTATGTGTACGTAGATTTAGTCACCCCTGGGCACGTATTTTGTGCGCCTTTGAGCGTGTATCCAGCAGCTCGGTATTCTACATGTTTGTACAAATGTCTTTGAGTTCAGTTGGTGGAGACATGCGGCCGTGGTCATGCATTTTTCTGTCTTATTACTGTATACGCCGGTGCGCTCCCAGTAGCCTCCCGTCCTCGTAAGAGCGTGATTGTATGCGTGGCGTGTGGTTGCAATTTTGCGGACCACATATGTCCAACTGTAGGCATACGCACGCATACCTGGTCAGAGAGCGGTACTGCCTGTACAACTGTGTACGTTGGCCTTCAGGGGCACTCTTAGAGCCTTGTTTGCCATAAGTTTCTCTTACCGCCTTTGCATGACAGTAGAAGCGCCTATGAGGGCAAAGGCTGCCAGCACTGCTGCCGTCTGTTGTTTCCTTCTGTATGTGCGTATTGGTGTTTGTGGCGTGCGTGCGAGGAAAGAGGAAAAGCGTGAGTAGACATCGAGGTGCACTGCTGCAGTCACACGCCTAAGACGCCGTACTACGTGCAGTCAGGCACCCGTGGCTGTGCGACGTGTAGACGTGTACACGCGCCGTATGTACACACAGTTCTCTGCCCAACTCACCACCACATATATTTAGATCTCTCCTTCGGTAAATATTCGTATACCTAATGATGCATGTATATGTATATATGTGCACGGGCGTGGCATATGAGTGCATATATATATATATATATATATATATATATATATGTATAGGCGTGCTGATCGGTGATATCAGGCGCGCACCGGCGCACACCCACGCAAGTCCGGTCTTCTATGTGTTTATGATGCGACGATCCAGGCAAAGGGTACACAGGTAAGAGACTGAAGGAGCTGATGGAAGCAGACCTCCGAGGCGAAATAACCGAGAACATGATAAAGTGGGGGTGGGGAGCCATGCCAACAGAGCTGCTGCAGCAGCACCTCCCGTCACGGAAAGCCTCTTCACAGTCGATGAAAATGGCGAGACACCTCCGCTGCAAGGTGGTGCCTGCATGAGCAGCGTTTGCAAACGAAGGATACAGCAGTTGCGATCAGTCGAAATTCGTCGCCAACACTCGTGGCGCAATCCGTACCAGCGGCCCCCTTGACTGGGCAGCTCGCGACACGTTCCTTCCTGCTTCAGCCACGTGCCGCGACGTCTGAAGAGCGTGAAGTGTCCTCCGGATGATACCAATGTTTCTCCCGATATCTCCGCTCCACTATGTTTCTGTTGTTTGTGCATTGCCAGTGAGAGTCCGCCGCAGCCCGCACGCAACCTGTATACTGTATGCATATAAGTGTATGCAACTATCCCCGGTCACCCTATGTGTGCATAGGGTGTATGGTGTAAAAGCGGCACTTGTAGTTTTCGAGTAAATTATGGGTGGCGCGTCTAAGACTATGTGTATGAGTGGCAGCGCACGCTTGCACGTAGGATAGTGTATACGTACAATTGTATGCGAGTATCCCGGTTTGCCTTATGTATGCATACAACAAATTTTGTAGAAGCGGTACATGTATTTTTCCAGTGAAGCGTCTACGTGTACGTGTATGAGCGGCAGTGCACGCCTGTGCACGTTGTATAGTGTATACATATAAATGTATGCGAGTATCGCGGTTCGCCTTATGTATGCATACGGCGAATGGTGTAGAAGCTAGTACATGTATTTTTTCTAGTAAATTACCGGTGAAGCGTGTACGTCTACGTGTATGAGTGACAGTGCACTCCTGCACGTTGAATAGTGCATACATATAAATGTACGCTAGTAGTCATCGTTCACCTTATGTATGCATACGGTGAATGGTGTAAACGCCGCACATGTATTTTTCTAGAGAGTCGTGTACTGTATACATACAAATGTATGCGAGTGTCCCCGTTCACCTTACGTATGCATACGGTGAGTGGTGTAAACGCGGCACATGTATTTTCCAGAGAGTTGTATACTGTATACATATACATGTATGTGAGTCTCACCTTATGTATGCATACGGTGAATGGTGTAAGCCCTGCACACGTATTTTTCTAGAGAGGCGGCGGAGCCGCCTGAAAGGGTGCACGGGAGGGTCGGGTCACAGTACGAGCTCATCGCGGCAGAAGGCCGATCCCCATACGCAAGGTACTGCTTGTGTGCTCTACCTTATATTTAATACGACCTACTACAAATAAGCGCGCGTGTTCACCCACGTGCGATGTTCAGAGACAACGTAAACACACAGATTCGAGGTTCTACTGGAGAGGAAAGGAAAGAGAACCATGCACCACCACCACCACCACCTCCGTATTCAACATCACGTACTACAGATTAGCGCGCGTCTTGAGCTACGTGCGATGTTCAGAGACAACATATACACATAGATTCCGGGTTACTACTGGAGAGGAAGGAGAAAGAAACACGCACCAAGCCCGGCACTTGCTGAAATCCATGAACAGGTCGTCATGTGCAGCGTGTCCAGTAGTCGAGTTGTGGACATTTATAACTGGGTGTGCGAATGCGCACGCAAACGCTCGCAACGTGGCGGCCGTAAGCGAGGGTCAGTAAGGCAGGAAACATTTGACTATACAATTGCATATGCTGAGGCGCATTACTCCTGCTTACTGGGCAGAGCGCTGGGGCGCTGGTGAAGAAAGACGCGCGCTAGTAGCGAGGTCCGACGCGCGCGAGACTCCGTACAGAGGGCCACACGCGTATGTTTCTACATATATCTATCTACAAGACAAAGTAGTCAAGAGGTCTCTTTTTGAGGTAGAGACGGCGACGTGCAAGCACTTGTAGTCAAGATGTCTCTCTTCAGCATAGAGTCGGCGAGGTGCAGGCACGCCCATGGACGTAACACTGCGGTCAAGTGCCAGAACATAATTAGTGTGTCTTAGAACACCGGCGGCACGCAGTAGCGACTCGTAGCCTACTGCCGCGAACGTTTTCCAGACGGTAGTTACTCGGTGTCCTGCAGGTCTGGAGCGAGCACGTAGACTTTTCGGGGAGCTGGGGCATAACGGGACGGTGTCGAGAGACAAGGAGTCCGCCTAAAGCGTAGCAGCTGTTCAGTGTCCTGGCCGTTGGCGTTTTGCAGTACCGCGCACCTGTGTACTTGCAAGAAAGCACGTTTCTCATGTTCGAGCGCAAGTGCTTTAGTTCTGAGAAGGATATGATTTTGTCGCCTCTACGGTATTCGCGTTCGTCATCCGTGTGTAGTCCTGCCCGCGAGGGTGTTTTGGGCTTTCTGCGAAAAAAACCCCGGATTCGGGAGTTTCTGTAGGATCATCCTTCTTTTCTCCGGCAGCAGGTAAAGGTCGCTTCAGCATTGCTCTAGAGTGATTTTACGTCAGCGGCAAAGATGAAGACCGAAGTAGAGTTATCGTACAGTGATCCTTTGTCAAGAGGCTGGTGGCGGCTGTCTGAAAACTCTCGTTGACGGATTCTGCGTCAGTGGATCAGATGGAAACTATTTGAGAATTATTGTACAGTGGTCCTTCTCCAGGAGGACAGAGGGACACCGCTTCAGGATTCTTGCCAGCGATACTTCGCTAGGGGAACAGATGACGCCTGAAAAAGAGACTCATCTTAGAAAAGCTAAACGTCTGAAAGTTGTTGTAGAGTAATCCGCTGTCAGGCGGCCGAATGAAGGGCGTGCTCCTATAAATACGTTCACGGAAACCGCGAGCACATGAAGTGCTTTCGCGCGCTGGTCTACGACTCGAAGATGTTCTGTATACATGTAGTTGTTGCTTTAGTCGGCTGCTGAGGGACGTCGTAGAGAAGCATGGAATCACACACCTCTAGCTGGCTTAGTCGGCGGGTGCGCTGGGTGTGAAACATTGTAGAAAAGCACGCAAGAAAGCAGGCAGCTTTATGTGGGGGTGTGCATAGACCTGGTCTGTGTGCGCAGACACGCCCCGCCCGTCTATTATTGGCCAGTGTAGCGCACGTCCGCTGGTTCAGCACTCGAGGGACTGGAATAACCGAGTAAGACTAGGACACGTTGGGCCGACAGATAAACCAAGCCCGTGGTCCCTCATGCACTATGTAAGGGAAAGGTCCACCGGTAGTGGTGGGCGCGCACTGACTACTTGCACGAAAGCTCTCGCTATGTTGAGAGGTAAACCAAGCCTTGATCCCCAATGCGATATGTAAGGGAAAGGCTCGAACCGTGGTGACGGGCGCGAGTTGGACTCTTCGCATGAATCTCTTGTTATGTTGACAGATAAGCCAAGCCGTGGGCCCCAATGCAGTATGTAAGGCAAGGTTCGACGGTGGTGGGTGCGCATTGACACTTTTCTCAAAACTCCACACGGTGGACGTCCCGGCAGGCGCCATCTACAAGGGGTGCTGCACTGCACGTTGCGCTACTGCGTCTGCGCGCCCATTCTATTTTCTTATCCAAGTGGCAACTGCCGTGAAAACTCAACGCAAGCCGAAAGCGCCAGCAAACTGGTTTGCATCGATGATGGCAACGACGAAGGCAATGGCAAGCAATGATGACACAGAAGGGATGGATTACAATGCGGGACTCGCGGCTTGTGATGTCCGGGTATCTGCAGTCGACCACTGCGACGCGCACTTTTCTCAGGCTTTTCAGAAAAGCTACCGAGACTTGATAGCGGCAGCTGCTGCCTCGGGTCAGGTCAGGAGCAACAATCGCTGCCAGAGTCGACTGGGCGGCAAAGATGTGGCGTGTTGCGTGGCACACCTCGGCCCGCGGATCGCCACTGTATATCCCTTCTGCGAAACATCACCTACCGGTGATGCCCTTGTCTGTGGAATGGCAGCTTGCCCGTGGTTCGCAATGCGAGCTGCTCTGGCGAGGAGGAAAAGCAGCATCTTGTGCTCGGCTGCGTAAAGTATGCGGTGAAGCCAAAGCCATCAAATGCCGCATCGATGAGCTGTCCTGGTGGTCAGGTGCGACTTCAAATCGCACGGCGCCTCACGGCGCAGGGGTTCGATTCCTCCTTCGGTGCGCCTGCTATATCCCAACAGAAATGGAAGATTCCAACGGAGATGGTTTCTACCACTCCACCGCCGAGCCTGAGCGCCTCGGTCGTTACAGAAGAGCGGGCCGACGCCAGCTACGGAAGCTCTCCTTGACACCAAGTCTCACGGCGCAGAGGTACATTTCCACCTTCGGTGCGATTACTACACTGTGAAGGAGCACAAGTCTCGAACGCAAATACTATGTACCACGCTACCTCCCAGCCAAAACGTCGCTGACGTTGCACAACTAGACACTACCACCCGCCAGCAGAACCCTTCTAAGCTCTTTCCGCGCCCGAACGCTACGCCCACCTGGAAATGCAGCGGAGCTGTCCGCGCTCTGGCAAGACGGGAGGCTCCCGACATACGCCTCGTCTCTCCTGCGTCCTCAGTGTCTGCTCACAAGCGTTAGTCCTCAGCTAGTGCCAGCCTAATGCTGTCCGAATGTGTTGCAAGATCAGTATATCTCCATGACAGTCAGTAAGACTCGTGAAAGCAGGAGGCCGTAGGCGTACGCCTACTCTCCCCGACGACCCGGTGCATCCCGCAAGCGGCAGATTTCCACGGGGGCCAGCGTTATACCGGCCGAGCTTCTCGCAACATCGGTGTATCCTGGTGGCACTCAATACGCGTCGTGACAGCAGTTGACTACCCAGACGCGTGAGGACGCCCTCGCTGCATATACCCCCAGTACACGCAGTGCTCGCGTTTCGGGCCATGAACAAATTCCACTAGAAGACCATTCCGTATCTTACGAGATCCTCCGACTGATGTGCGACGGCCCCCCCCGTCCCAGCTGATTCTCGTCCCGGGTACAGGAGGTCAAACGTAAGGACTAGCGTGCGCTGCAGAGCGAAACTCTGCGTTGGAAAGCCTGTTATACGTGACGACCCATCGTGCCTTCGACATCTGTGCGTAGTTTTCTAGTGATTCTTCGCTGGATAAGGAACGCACATGGAGGTGTGTATCCCGCGAATACGCGGTTGTCGAAGTCCACGCATCCGGAGCCTGTACGGTCTCACATGGCGAATGCTTTCTGACTCATTCATCTGTCCGATCTTCCTAGGCGCACAGAACTCTTTTGCATCAACGTGTGAGAAAAAAAAGTCGACCTACATAGTGAACGCGTACCCTCATTGCAAGCGCGTAGCGTGCGGGCACGAACCCGCTGAGTGCCTCTCTGCAGTAGTCGAAGTTAATCAGGGCCCCTGTGCGCATACGCGCGCCCGCTCGTTTATCTTGACAGTCCGCAAACCTCCGCAGTAAAATCGTTCATCTGCCCCCGCGCAGGGCGCCGACCCGAGCGACTCCACAGGCCCTGGAGGGCTCGCGCTGGCCTGCGCCGGAGAAGTCACTGCCTAACGCGAGGGTGCCGGCCTGGGACTGCATACGTATACAGAGGTCGGCCTCTCTACACAGTAGCGTGCGCCAACGGCTTGCTGCGCCGTTGGAAGGCGAAATCTTCGCGTATACGTCGATTATTTGGTTGTCGCTGGCACCTCGCTGCCGCTATCCCTGCCTGACGGCATCCAAAAGAACCCGCACGTGTAAAAATAAACTATTGCTTCCCCTTCGACCACCACCGGAAACAGAGATTCTAGTCGGCTTTTCTCGGGTTTTGCGCTCCGCGGTGTCATTTCCACTAGGACGTGTATACCTTCCACCCATTCGTCGCTTCGAGGACTGGAGAAAGCCGCGTAGCGTAGGGAACTCACTTGACTCTTCCCGTGCAACACAGAAAGCACTTTGCTTTCTCTCTACCTCTGCCGCTGGTTTCGCGCCGCTGCGTCCTCTCAAAGCGTCGGATCTCCAGCATAAGATCTCCAGCGTCAGATCGCCGGAGTGTGCATCGCTACTGTATCTTTCTCTCTCTGTGGCCCCTTTCCTTCCTTTGTGTCTTTCTCTTTTACGCACATGGTATGATCGTTGTTGAAGCAGGTTTAGCTCTGCATCGTTCCTTGTTGAAATGCATTTCAGGGCCGACCCGCGCGGGCCTGCGCCGCGTGCCGGCCGACCCCACGAGAGGCCCTCATCCGCGCAGGCTTGAGGAGGGATGATGGTGTCTCTGGCCGCTTCAGGGGGTGCCGGCTCCGCGTCGTGCGGCGGAAGGTCACGCGGGGTATGTCGCAACTCACTGAGGGTCTCTCCTTGAGTTATATCTCGTTTGCACTGTGTATCTTGTTCATGCTGTGTTTCTCTGATAGTTAAAGAGAAAAGTCGGGCGGCTCCTGCGGAAGGTCACGTGTTGCGCGTCACGGACCCGGCGGGGACGGCTTCGGCCCTTGAGCAGTGCGGTGTAGATACACCTGAAGAACGAACCGCGCCTCGCTGCAAAGATCAAGTTTTCGCAGCAGGAAACTGTATGTAAAGTGGTCCTTCAGGGACTATTCAGTCCTGTCGGCGGCTTGCAGGTCAATGAAACCGCAGAGGAATCCAGGATCTCTGCGAAAAAGCACCCTCAATGCAAGGAAGGAGGAGCCACTACTCTCCGCGGTCGAGAGACGTGTACACCACGACGAGGCGCGTCGTCCTATTGTTCCATTACAGGGTCGCGGGCAAGTGGGCGGCGGCGTCCCCTGTGTCCCGCCCGCCCCGGAATTATAGCGTTCACGGCGCCTGACTACCGCCCACGAAAGCTATTCAGCACTTCAACACACAAAACATCTTGCGTTGCTGGTAGACATTCGTGTAACCCGTCATATTGCCATTCGGCATTCCTGGTTGCGACGCCTGCACCTGCCCGTGCAAGCTTCCCGGTATCTACCCGAACAAACTGTCCGCTGAAGAACTTAGTGGACGCACGTGCCTTTGATCTTGCTGACTACAACGCACGGAGCTCGACATGAAACAGTTACATACGAGGATCTGTCGCGGGCAGCGCTGCTTCCTTTCCACGCGAACGAAAATACCAGTGGGGCGCGAGCGTGTCGTGAAATGCCTGACAGTCAAATTCCAGTAGGGATGAAGTTTAGCTACTCGAAGCAGAGCACGGGAACACCGCCAGTCATCTTATCGGGGAGCTGACGTGTAAAAGGTACTTTTGTCAATGCCTGGTCGGCCGACCGCAGTGCTGGAGACGAAGGTACACAGTACTGTAGCGCCAAACCCGGTTTCTCGTTGGGCATCCCTCGCGTGTCTGCTGCGTAGAATGAGCGTTCCACAGACGTCGAATGCGGGTGTACAGCCCTTGCGTTGCTGGGTATCGCGGCTTCGCGATCCTCAAACCATGTCGTGTTTGACAGCGTATGCAGCCTGTTTGTCTTCTGGGGACCGGATGTCTAACGTGGGACTATAAAGCTAGCCTTTGACACATCAGGACTTCGTTGCCGGCACACGTGCCTATTAGTCGTCTTGAACCGGCATGTTTTCACAAACACGGCCACGCGTGTCTTGCATCGGAAACTAAGATGCGGCGCCGCATTTGTGGCTGTCCTGCGCACATGATAGTGATTGCCTTTTTAAAACTTCAGAGTCACGCTGGACCGCTGGAATTGACGGCAAGATCGTATCATGTGCTCATGATAGTGATTCTGTTATAAACACTTCAGAGTCGCCCTGGACCGCGGGGATCGATGACTCTGCTCCAGGCACGTGGCGTGGGGGAACGCTCAGATTGGATGGAAGACGCCTACCACTCACTTGTACAAGTTTTCTTGCGCTCGCGCGTCTCGATGGCATGCGGCTCCTTACCTCGTGTGCGTAGGAAGAAGCTGTTCTGCGTTCAAAGACGTCTCCGAGAAAATGGCGAGGCTTTTGAATGTACACGAGCGAATACAACACACACTTACTTCGCTCTAGAATGCCTATCTGTGGCGGATCGCGGTGCGTGCGACTAGCCGGGAGACCTGAATCGCGATTTATCTGCGGGAAAAAAAAGCGGGCACTTCGCTGCGTCGGCTCCCCCCGCGGATTGTGAGTGCCTGCATCCACACCTCCAATCTGCCTGCATCCACACATCCGAGAAACATGTGTCCTACCACCGTCACTGTGGAAGCGAATGCTCCGAGACACCGACGACTGAAAGAAATACGCGCAGACATGTTCGCGTGGTCTGGTCTATTCCTGCTGAAGAACGACACCGAGGACGCGACCAGGTCCCTCTTCTGTTGTCATCGTCGTTCACCAAGCGGAAAAAAAAGAAGGAAGGGTAAGTCACTTGGATGCGGCGTACAGACATTGTCGGCTCTGCGTTCCGAATAGACGTATCGAGCCGTGTGGACGCTGCTGTCGACTTGTCGGTGGTAGTTTCTGCACTGCGTACGCGCCACCTACCGTAGGGGAGTGTGGAGTCAAACGTATGCGTTGACCTGCATTCGTAGCCAGTTTATGCTTCGAACTACTTAGCGTATCTGTTTCGTTCAATGTAGAGAAACGTTGGTCTACTCGCTGTATATGTTTTAATCGGGGTAGAGGGATGTCGACTGGAGCTGCCGTTGTAGTAACTCTTTAGCTACTTTTATGTGTGCAGCTTCATTAGCACTCAGAGTCTGAGCGGAACTACTTGCCGTACGTATTTGACCGAGGGCAGGCGGATGTTCACCTCTGTAGGCGCTGTGCTGCCTGTCTACTTTTTCGTATGTTGACAAGTTACATGCCCAGCTGTTCTGAGGTGACGCTCCAGTGTCCCCCCTTTCCCCACTCTACTCCCTCGTCTCTGCTCTCTATTTCTTCGTCGCTCTTCCGGGTAAACATGCCCAGCGGCCCCGCAGTGACTTTCCAGCTGTGCATCCCTTACGATGTTCCTGCGCCCTTGGCCCTCTGCGTTTCCCCCCTCTTGCGATTCCACATTCGAGTGTAGATGCCTAGCTGGCATGAAGCAGATTTCCAATTTCCCCCCACTGCGTACGCTGCTCCTGCGTCTCCGCCCGCTGTTGTTTCCTCTCATTTCCGGCTAAACATTCACCGCTTTGAAACAGCAACAGGCACGGCTCCGGGAAACACTGTTGGTGATCAGTGGCAACCCTTTTGCCCACTAGTAGCAGAGTACACTTTGCAGAAATTTCCGAGTTGCCTCGATTGTTGCTCTTCACCAGACCCGTACATATATGGCTAGATCTACCTTTCCACTTACCTATCTGTCTCTCGCTCTCTATATATGTGTATGTACGCGCCGTCGGTGCCTTCAGCAGCGGGAGATGCTTTAAGGAAGAGGGTGGGCAGAGTATTCTTGGATCGGGCTCGCTTGTGGGGAGCATATACGGCCGTTTTATCAAGGCATGTTTTCCCCCATTAGACGCAAAGCCTAGGAAAGTGTGTTTCTGCAGCCGTCTCAGATACGCCCCGCACAGCCGTTGCGTGTTCGCAGGCACTCCCGTGTATACACGAGGCCTCCCATCCTACGCAGGGGTCTTCACTTGTTTACACACACACCGTCTCTACTTTGTAGGGAGAGTGGCGTCATCCTCGGTTATATATATATATATATATATATATACATATATATATGTGTATATATACATGCATTTATATATATATATATATATATATATGTATGTATATATATATATACACATGAACCTTCGCTCACATACACGCTGTCTCTCCTGCGCACGCTTCCTAAAGCGCCGTAGCGAGCGTAGTCTGGATCCTGCGCAAGTGTACATACGTTAATGAGCACGTGCGCTCACGTATACGCTGTGTCTACTGCAGCATCACAGTCAGGAAGGTCATCTCTTCGATACATACATATATATATATATATATATATATATATATATATATATGCGTACACTGCCGCTCACGTGTACGCTGTCTCCACTACACATGCTTATTCTAGCATCACAGTGAGAGTGCTGTGTGACTCTTCTGCAGTATGTCGTTGGTACCCTGCTCTCTGCGGGGATCTTCCTGCTCACGTGTGACGTATAACTACAGTGGGTTATGATATATCGGCGGCACGCGTAGATTCTTCTAACTCTCTGTTCCTCTCTCGTGGCTGGCCTTCTTTCTGCCTATACGGCTCAACCTCCTTGATCTATTCCCAATGCCTTTGCGCGCGTGCCAGCGTCCTTCTCGTATGCGTAACCTTCTCCAGTCTCTTCTGGGCTGTGCAGTCTACATCCATGCAGTTACTACATAAACAACAATATACGTGTATATACGTGAATATATGTATATATATATATATATATATATATATATATGTACACATATGCCGCTATACCCATACTTCTTCATCCGTAGGTAGATAGAGTTCTATATACAAATATAGCGAACTTCTTAGCGCCACGCGTTACAGATGGCGGACCACTATTTGAGGTACTACAGAGCCTCCTGAATCTATTCTCGATGAATTTGCGTACCCTCCAGCCTTCTTGCCGTATCGCTGGTCCTTCCTGTAGTTCCCTCTGTTTAATACGCGTGCGCATTCATGTACGTCTTGATTATTTCTTTACAGCTTGGGCGCTGTGGGCCCCTCCGACTAGCAGCCTCCTGGGTGACGCATCACAGCGGGGACTTTCGCCATGGCGGCCACCAAGAAGATATTTGTAGGCAGCATTCCTCATACTGTGGATGAGGTAAATACAGTCACCCTCATACATGCGGCTGCGCCCACAATATACCTTTTTTTTTTGGCTTTGTGTTCCTTTACCATCGGGGGAGCTACATCTCTGCTTTCTCGAGAATCTGTTCATTCCCACCTCTGCCTCACTTCACAGTATGTGTAGGCTGGTGTACACTTCTTTAGCAGCACACCATCGTGCTTGCATGACAGCGTACGTACATTAGTGTATGAGTCCTTCTCTTGGTATAACCGTCTGTACAGTTGCACCTCTGTCTTCTCAAACGTCTGCTGTTTCCTCCATACATACACGCATACATACCTACATACACATATACGGTAGAATGAGCAACCGGAAGTACGCGACGCCGACGAAGGTCGCAGACAGGCGACAACAGTCTCGCATGCCGGCAATATCCGACTTCGCTTTCACATCGTGTAAGTGTAGGCATATATTATACACATCTATATGTGCACATACGTGCTTCAGACGTTTATATATATATATATATCTATATATATATATAGATATATATATATATATATCTATATATATACATGTATATATGTACATGTCTGCCTCACTTTAAAGTACGCCTATATATACATAGATGTCTGCCTCACGTTATAGTATGTACAGGTCAGTGTACACTTCATAAGTGGTAGATTCTCGTGCATGCAGGCCAGCGTAGGCATGATATGTAACTCAGCTACACAGCACTTGTGTGGGCACGTATACTATATATATATGTATATGTCTATATGTCTTGCTCCCGTCTAGACATACGCGAACGTGCCTGGTCGTTTCCGGTTGCAGGCAGCACGTTCTTTGCGGACGTCTCCTCGTGCATGAGTATATATATGTATACAGCACAGATATACACTCAATCCTTGATTCAAAGAGGTATTCGGTATCAGCTATATATATATATATATATATATATATATATATTTATATAGATGAATCTACACATATATGTAGGTATATATATATATATACATATATATGTGCTGTTCTTTCTGCTTAACTGCTGCCTGTTCTGCGGCGCTTCCGCTCCAGGATACCCTGCGCGCCAAACTTAAAGAATACGGAAATTTGATTTCTTTGTTTACATGTTGGACCAGACGCAGTCTCATCGCGGCTGGCATTCGCGACGTATGAGACTGCAGAAGAAGCAAAGACAACTATTGACGCCCTTGACGGAAAAGAGATATTTCCAGTGAGAAGAAGTCGCTCTGTCTTAGAAGAGCTCTGTTTTAGAAGGAGCTATTTCAGCAGGACTCTACACACGTATGTATGTACGCATGCGCCTATGTACGTGGTTATGCTTGTATGTATGTATTCATGCATGTATGTATGTATGTATGTATGTAAGCCTGTGTGTAGATGTGTATGTTCGTATGTTTGCACGTTTGTATGTATGTATGCATCTATGTTTGTATGTGTGTACGTAGGTATGTATGTATACATGTCCACATATTCTACATAGAAAGGTTTTCAGTTTGCTTGCAAACGTCTGGGGGTGTAGTGGCGCCTCCTGTCGTCATACTTTGCCGACCTGTAGCAGTATAACTGTAGGTCTACTTGCTGGAAATGGAAATATATATATTTATAGACATATATATATATATATATATATCTTAGAAGAGCATTCCAGCTCTCGTGTTCGGCTCTACGTAATTACACGCGCGAAGCCCTCGATCGCAGAGAGATATTTCCAGTGATAAAGTGGCTAGCTCTCGCCTGCTAGAGAGAGAAGGTTCTGCAGAATCGTATCTATGTATGTATGTATGTATGTATGTATATATGCATATACATGCGTATGGATGCATGCATGTATGTATGAATGTACGTATGTATGTGTGTATGTATGTATGTGTGCATGTGTGTATGTATGTACGCGTGTAAGTACGTGTGTGTGTATGTACGTAGGTGCGTGTGAATGTATCCATAAAGGCATATGCGTATACATACTTTGCAGAGAGCAGCTTTCCCGTTGTTTGCAGTCGTCGGCTTGTGTACCCGCTCTCCTGTTCTGTTGCAGCATTAAGAAAGTTTTTCTTTTCAGCTGTAAGAGCTATAACATGTCTGCCGCTAGTGTATAGTGTGCGTATAAGACGTAAATTTTGATACATTCGAACACAGCGCTGTGCAGCATAGGAGACACTCTCCATTTCTGCTTTCCCTCTACATCCCACATATTATGTACGCAGGTACTCGTCTGTCTCCCCTCCTCGCGCAATATAACATATACACAGCAGGAAGTACGACGCTTCTACTCTTGTGCTTGTGAATGCTTCAGGACAGTAAAGGCCCTTTGGAGGCGCGCTTTGCAAACCAAAAGCCGTCAACGTCGTCTACTCTGTTTCAGTATCCCGGCGAAATGGCGAGAAGTGAGTCTTTTGCACACCACTTGTGTCTACCCAGGTTGCAGGAAAAGAGCTACATATGTCTGCATAGACATATTTATATATATACATATATATATGTATATATATACATACGTGTATACATATGTATGTATGCGTGTGTGTGCAAATATATTGCTACAGAGATTCAACAGGTTTCATCAGCCTGTACAGGCGTGCATCGTGTTGAAAAATACACACCTATATGTATGCGTATATATATAGTTTTATACGTATACGTGTATGTGTTTATATGCATATATATATATATATATATATATGCCACTATGCCTATCACACGGACACACAGACGAACACACACAATCATGCACACGCGTCGTCTGCGCTGCTTCAATATCCCGACACTCAGGTTCACGCGTCTACTCTTCCGTATGCCCGACTAGCTACAGACTTTCTCCGGACACGAATATATAACCGTACATGCATTAATGAGCATATATATGCATATATATATGTATACGTCGGCATTAACGCATAGAGGAGAACACTGGTATTCCTGCGTTTATGATTTGGTACAATCAGAAAGCTCCATACATTATCCCCTGTATACGCATACGTATGCAAATATACAACCGTACGCGCACGCGTCTATATTGGCACAGTTGTGTACATATATATATATATATATATATATATATATATATATACATATGTATATATATATATATATATACATGTGTATGTGTGATGCGAAGCAACGACGAAGCGTACAGGGCAACTTCCGTGCTCGCGCACCCTTACGTTGGCCCATACAGCTGCGTAGGCCTTCGCTATTTCACATACGTATACAAGTGTATAATCGAAGTGCATATGCAGATATATATATATATATATATATATCTACATATTATATACATGTCGATGCGTACATATATATATATATATATATATATATATATATATATATATATATACAGGCGTGCATACATTCATACATACAAACATACATACCTGCATATATACACGTGGGCTGGCCCTCACGAACATAGACAGGCTTGGGGGAATAGTGACGAAGTTGATGTATAAGCAGTTACAATCCAGAAGTACAAAAGGCATACTTACGTTCTGGTTAGAAGTCATGTACCGCCTCTCTTGGATTGGAACTGGCGGAAATAGATAGATTTGATTGTAGCACTAGGGACTCGTAGGGTGTACGCACAACACCTTCTTGCCTCGCTTCTACGTCTGCGGCCATGTATCTGGCTGTGCCAGTAGTATCTCCCCGCAACGTCCGTCACCATGAATATAGGTATCCGTCTATTAGTTCCCCCCACGGCGTCAATGTCCATGTATCTACCTGTGCGTCTACTATTGCCCCACAGCGTCTATGGCAATGTAGTTACCTCTGCGTCTATTATTCCGCGCGACGTGAAGGGGGCCATGTATCTACCTTTGCGTCTATTATTTCCCCGCGGCGTGTAGGGGGCCATGCAGGTAGCTGTGCGTCCGTTCTTTGCCCGCAGCGTGTATGGCCACGTACTTAGCTGTGCCTCTACTATTTCCCCGCACCATGTATGGCCGTATAGCTAGCTGTGCGTCTATTGTTTCCCGCTAGCGTCTATGGCCACGAATCTAGCTAACGTCTACTAATTTCCCGCAGCGTCCATGCCCCTGTGTGTCTGACTGTGTCTATTATTTTCTGCAGAGATATGGCAGAGTATTACACGGACGACGGTATACCCTACTATTACAACAGCATCACAGGTGAGACTCGCCTCCTTCCCTGCGTTGCAACGCTTGTGATATACGCCCCGCTGCTGCATACAAGGCAGATAGATGCGCACATGCTTCTGTGTTAAGCTTCACTGATATATCGAAAGACAACACAAAACTGCACTAATATTCATCTCTGTTTCTCTCTCTCAGTACATATGTGCATACCTATATACATGTGTACGCACGTGTGTAAATATACGTATATATGTATATATATATATATACATACATTGTGGACGGGTCAGAGGCATTTTAATCAATATGACTCATGCGCGTGTCGCTGCTGCTCAGCTGCGGGTAAATCCTCCTAGAGATACGCGCATATGCGTCTGCGTTGTGCTCCATTGCTGTGATGTTATATAATACGGTACTGGGCTATGAGTATTTATATATATATATATATATATCTGTATACGTACACATGTTTTGCATGTGCATATGTGTATACACGTACATATATATATATATATATATACATATATATATGTATATATATATATATCTCTCTCTCTCTCTCTCTATATATATATATATATAGATGAGTGCGAATTTGACAGACGGCTGCAGAACAGCAGCTGCCATGCATGCGCCGCCTCTGCTTAGCTGCGGGTAACTCGTCCTAGAGACATGCCTGTACGCCTCTGGGGCGATCTCCGCCAGCGTATGGGAATATCGTAGAGGCGCGGATTATAAGTACTTGTACATACGTACGTATCTTGCGTATGAACATACATATATATATATATATATACATACGTACCTCTCTATGAGCGTACGTGTCGTTCTCCGCTATTGTATTGAAGCGCAGTACAGGCGTGGGCTACAAGTACATACATATACATACACATTTTGCACGTGGATATGTATAGAGCTGTCCATGAGCGTGTGTGTTGGTCCCCCGCTAATGTAATGGGAGACAGTAATGGATGCACTTAAAGCACGTAACTGTACATCCATATGTGTCTACAGGCATGCGTGCTGGCCTGCGCTAATGTGTTGAAATATGAAACAGGACTGACGCAGTGGGAGAAGCCGCCCGAGTTGGAGAACGCTGCGCGTCCGGCTTCGCAGCAGCGCTCCTCCATTGGAATGCTAGGGAATTCGGCTACTCGCTTCGGGCCTCCGGGTACTCCGAGCTATAGCTTAGTATATATATATATATATTATATATATAATGTATACGGATACATATACACACAGACATATATATATATATATATATATATATATATACAAATGTATCTATACATGTATATATATATATATGTATGTATATATTTATATATATACATATATATATATGTAGCTGTGTCTTCCTGCTAGTAGCAGCATTCACGCCTGTATGCACATATGTGTCTGGGTATGTTCGCACACAGCTGTCTCTGCCACTTAGCGGCAGCATCTTCATATGTTTATATAAATCATAGTGGGTGTATGTACGTATATCTATACATGTATATATATATATGTACGTATATATGTGTATATGTGTACCCCGCCCATTCTATGCGAATATCGCATCTCATGCGACGCTCGTTATCTACCGGGCTGGAATTTAACATTGTTAGAACTGGCTCGTATATGCACATGCATACGTGGATGGATATATATATATATATATATATATATATATATATATATACAGGCCTACGTCTACGATTATGTACATATATATATATGTGTGGCCGTACACGGCTGGAGAGCAACCGCAGTAAAGTCAGCGTTCTCCCATAAGTACGTACCACTACATATATATATATATATATATCTAGATAGATAGATAGACACATATGCATACGCAGAGGTGCATTGATTGCAGACTGTCATGCATGCATGCGTGACCCCGGCATACACAAATGGTGAAGTGAACCTGCGATATACACAGATTCAGGAATTTTGTACCCTTGCCTTTCAGAGTGTAGATTATATGTTACCATGCCGCTATATAGAATAGTAGGAGCATTTCTTTTACGGGGTAGTAGGTAGTCTTACTATGCTCCAATAGCCTCTCCATATACGAGCGGAAGTGCATATATATAGATGTATATACATATAAATATGTGTATGTGTATCTTATATGTGCGCACGCGTGTGTACCAGACTAGCATCTGTATAGGGAAGCGAACATGTGATACCCATACGTATATATATATATATATATATATATATATATATATATATATATATTTGTAAGTACAAACAAATGGTATGCAGAGGAAACATACACGCATTATATGAATATGTCCCCATATACATGTATATATATATATATACATCTACGCGTATGCGGGTACTTGTTGGCCGTTGCTCCCTCTCCATATTACTTTGTAGATCCCACGTAACTTACAAGTACAGGAGACTAATTCACCTGTTGCTTCATTTTCCGCTGTTTCTCTGCTTCTTTGTCATATTTAGCGTAGAATAGGAATCTACGTGTTTCTTTCGCTTTCTCGGCTCTGCTTTTCGTGTCTTTGTTTGCGTGTATTATATCAAGAATGACAAGCTAGATTTTCATCTTGCTTTTGACGGGTATTGCATTGCGCACGGATAATTCCTTTCTTTTCCTCTTCTTCTTCTTTTGCTTCTCCTTCTCGTACACAGGAATATCCGTGTATTCCTTCCTTTGCCTCTTCTTGTCCTTCGGTGTACTTGCCTGCCACTAGTACACCTTCTTCCCTACTGCTACTTATCTACTAATATGCATAGTAGTAGTATTAGTACAGCTACTGCTTACCTACTGCTTCTACTACTAGTCTGCTACTGTCTTCCGTTCTTTCGTCCTCCCCTTCCATCCCCCTTCTCCGCGCGTGCAGGCAGACATTTTGTTGTATATATGCATGTGTAGATATTTATGTATATATACATATATGTATACATATATGTATATATATATATATGTATACGTACGTGCAGTCGTGTTAACACATTGCACAGGTAGACACAACGACAGATAGTAGTATGAGGAAAATCACAAACTGCTATGTTCTTCTTCTCCGCTTCGTCTGTGTCTTTCTATTTTTCGCATGCAGGAATGCGTCGCTGTTCCTTATTTTTCCGTGCTTCCTCGTCTCATTATTTTTTCTGCACGCACCTGTCAGAAAAAAAAAATTTCGCTCTGCATCTTCTTTTCGACTGGATTAATATGGATCTTGTCCAACATTTTCAACGTTTCGGAGACATTCCCCCCCGCGTACACGCTGAAAATCTTCTTTGTTTTGCTCAGTTTATCTCTCAACTCTTCCTTGTCCGTCCATCGCTTCTTCTTCAAACAAGCGTGCAGTCAGTTTTCCGCATAGATATATATAAGTATAGATATATATATAGGCATATGCAGATATACATATATACATAAATATATGCAGCTATATATATATATATATATATATATTTATATATATATATATATATCGTACGTGTTAGAGCGGCTCTGAGCTGTAGTAAGAGGAGAACAAAACATCGTTGCTCTTCATCTTTTTCTGCTGCATTGTCTTTTTCTTTCTATTTTTTCGCATGCACTATGTCAGGGAGTAATATTTTCGTTTTTCATGTACCTTTTGATTGGAATGATATCGACCTAGTTCAACATTTTCAACATTTCGGGAACATTCTTTCTTCTCGTATACAAAGAGATGCGCAAGGAAAGAGTCGTGGATTTGGATTCGTCTCTTTTGATAATCCTCAGGCTGTAAGCACTTGCCACTACTATTGCTGTCGTCCGTCCGCTACTACTACTACTACTACTTCTACAACAACAACCACTACACAACTCTACTATTACTAGTACTGCTATTACTGCTGCTTCCGTGGTACTTATGATACAGCTGCTACTACGGTTCTACGTTCCTTGCTACTACTGCTACTATTAGTGCTTCCCTACTACTTATAATACTACTGACAAGTTTTCTACTACCAGCACTACTACTGCTACGCAATCAAGACTGCTTACGTAGCACTACTAATGCTACTACTAATTTACTACTACAACTAGTACTTACCTGCTACTACTACTACTCTACCTCCTACTACAACTACTACATTGCCGCTACCACCACTACCGCTACTACCACTTATTTGGTGCTTCTTAGCTGTCACTACCGATCACGTACCGCCACTCACCTACCGGTGCTGGAACCATCAGTACCACTACTATCCATTATTCCTTCCATTTTACGTCTGCAAATACTTCTTCCAGTCTAGCTACGGCGCGCGGTACTACTCAAGCCACTGCTGCTAATGCTGCTACAACGGCTACGACAGACGATAGGACCTAGCTACTGTTTATGGTACTACTACCACCACTACTACTGCACTATTTATACTACTATAACTGCTACTACTACTACTACGTAACCGCTGCTACGCTTGTTCCTGCGTTCTTTAACAGCATATTACAGTTGCCTACACCTATGTATGTATATATAAAAGTCACAGCGGACGCTTGTCAGGAGAAAAAAAAAGGAAGACACATAGACAGAATCAGAGGTGAGATATAGAGGCAGAGGAGAAGGAAGACCGATAGATAATCAGAGGACACGAACTCGCAGCGTTGGTACCGGTAGCGAATAATAGGGGCAGAACTGAAACAAACTCTGCCGTGCTCCATACAAACTTGCAACTTCTACATATATACATATATATATATATATATATATATATACCACTATATATGTGTACCTATATATATATATGTATACATATATACGTATATATATATGCATTCTGGTACGGAGCCGTAGACAAGAGCACGTGAAAGGTATCAGAGGCTTGAAGATGCTTCTGTACTGCAGCAGTTTCATTAGGGACTATTGCCGTACCTCTGCTGCTTGCCTTGGCTGCTGCCGCGTCCTGCTGCTGCTGCTGGTGTTGCTGCTCCTCTTTGCTGCTGCTCCTTGCTCGTGCTGCTCGCTGGTGCTCCTTGCTGCTGCTGCTGCTTGCTGATGGTGCTTGTTGCCGCATGATACTGCCGCATGTTGCTGCTTGCTGCTGCTGCTGCTTGTTGCTGTTGCCCGCTGCTGCTACTGGCTGCTGCTATGCTGCTTTCTTGCTGCTGCTGCTGCTACTGCTGCTGATAACTGCTTCTGCTATTGATTGCTGCTGCTTTGCTTCTGCAGGCGGTGAATGCCATCAGAGGCATGCACGGCTTTTGTGTAGCTGGGCGGTTTCTTCGTGTACAACTTAAGAAAGGGGAGGAATGTTTCTTGACAGCAGGTACGTAATCTGATAACATTTGCGCTGTATACTTTACCTATTGTCACTACTACACGGAGGGTACATGATTTTGAAAGCTATGTGACCTAAAAGCCTTCGTAGTATCTATGCATTTATATCTGTCGATCTATCTATCCCTCTCTCTCTATATATACATATATATATGTATATATATATACACTTATATGTATACATATACATATGTATATATACCCGTGTATGCATACATATATATATATATATATATATATATATATATGCAGATGCCCAGAATAGCACTCTGACTAACGTATGAATGGTTTATGTATGCCGGTGGTGCATGCTTTGATGACAAATGCGCTCTAGCCTCCTTTTACTGTCAGTACCTTATGAACCGTATATCTTCTAGTCAGACACGCGATTTGATAACAATCGTGCTACGAACTTCCTCGACTATCACTACGACAGGAAGGCTACCTGTTTTCAACAGGCATGTGAATGGATAACGTTCGCGGTGATATATATACCTCCTGCGTGTATATCCGTATGGTATATGAGTAGACGTGGGTAACCTTGTGAATGCATGCAGCGGCAGTAAATATGCAAGTCGCATATAATATTAGCGACCAACACCACCGTAGATCCCATCGGGCACTACAGATCATACGCGATGCGTGCCGTCATGTATACATAAGCATAAGCACGAATTCGTACATGTACAAAAGTATCTGCACATGTAATATATATAAATGAACAGATATGGCTTTGCACATGAATGTCTATCAGGCAGCCAGGCTGTCTGCCGCCTTAATACATAAACCTACA